AAAGACAGACACACAGCTGTAGCTTCTGATTGGAGCCTGTAAGACTTAGGAAATCACCTCTTATTTGATAATCAGGTCGTTCAGTTTAACTCTCTCCTCTCAAGGAGGCTCAAGGACATGTTAGCAGCTGCTCCTATGCCAGAAAGGACGGCTCTCAGCAGAACCTGGCCTAGAAAGCCCTCCTCTCCTCTACACCTTGCAGTCTGACCTCGCAGGCTGGAAGAAACCACCTGGAGAAATGCCAGTTGGGGATTCCAGATGCTGCTCCCTTCCCTTCCAGTCTAAGGACAGTAGAAAGAAACAGACACTGGACTGCGCCTTCCTCAGTCTCTGCAGCTCACAAGTCCCATTCATGTCTGTCTCTGAATGGTCCACCCAGTCCTCATGCTCCTGTTCTGAGCTCAGAACACTGAGGCTCTTAAATGCAAGGGAACTTGCCCATGGTCAGAGACAAGAGCAGCAGCAGTTCTGGTGGATGCTGCCTGGAGAAGTGCGGCTTGATCTGCAGGTGACGTGCGGCCCTCCAGAGAGGAGCTGAGCTGCAGAGTCGGGACTACAACTTGAATCTCCTGATTACAAGGTTTCGGTTGCTCTTTGGACTGACCTGTACTGAGCCCACTTCAAGGCAATGTCACAGCCTGCTGGTGTGGTATCACTCAGCTAGGGCCCCAGGCCTGGGCTGGGTCTCTCGAGGCCATTTGGTGATGCATACTGAAGTGGCTCTGAGCCAAAGAAGTGGGTCCCTAGCTGGGGGCAGGGAAGGCAGAGAACCACCATGGAACTCCAGATGGGGAGCACATGTCCCCGAAATGATGCGTTCAGCAACACGAGGTCCTGCCTGCAAGAGGATGCAAGGGTGATCAGTGGAGCATGGATGACCCATCGCAGCAAGACAATAGTAACAGCAAGGATGATGTCTAACAGCACTGGGGGACCCCAAAGACCACCACAGAGCTCTTCAGCTCTCACCGCCCACAGGCCCTGATATGTGGCCTGCTGTAACACAAGTAACCTAGACAAACACCAGCATCCCCAGCTTTGGACACCAGGTGCTCTTGGCTTCTCAGGGAGAGACCCAGTCTGGATGGACTCCAGCAATGTTCCCTGCTTCCTTTCTCTCTCTATCTTTCTCTCCTCCACCACCCAACTCTGTTGCTTCTCATACTGGGCAGAGGATAGCTGAAAAATGCTGACCCACTGGCAGCATAGAACTATTTAGGGAATGGATTGGGTGGCTGAAGTTCATCTTCACCCTGCACTAGGAGAGGTCCCCGTGGTTACTGAATTCATGTGCACCAAAACCTCCTGGTGGGACACATGCCCAGGGGAGGCTGGTGTAACACTAGTTATCCTGGAAGCAAACAGTTAAGTGCACATGGCCACAGTCAGATGGTCACTGTCAGCAAACCAGCCAGGAGCACACTACCTACAGATGCACCTGGTCCACAGGGCCACACTCACATCCTGAGATTTTGGTCCCCAAGTGAACAGGTGGAACCAGGCTCACACAACCATGGACAGTCACACACACACACACACACACACCTGTGCAGTGTACACACCGACACTCACACTCTCGTGCACAGCCAGACACACTGTGTACACACAGATAGACACATTCAGTCTTCAGTCCCACTGCCCAGACACACCCTTGATGCAGTTGGATCCTCAGCTGCCCTCACATGCAGCCCCTCCTGCCCCACAAACACATGTGTGCACACACACACACACACACACACACATGCACACATACACACTTGCCCAAACATCCTGCACCCTCCTGACACAATGCTGTCCTGTTGTGGGGGTCTCAGGTGCCTCACGGTGGCAGGAGGGGACCCAGGGAAGGACCCACTGCTGTGAGGGTAATGGTGGGCTCGAGCCCTGCTACACCATGTGGCTGCGGTGAAGATTAACTGGGCCCAAAGCCTTCCATCCCATAACCTGGCATCTCCATGGATTTGGTAAAAGCCAGTGGAGTCGAAAGGGAGGGGAGCCCTGTGGTTTCTGAGACCAAAGCCAGAGGAGCTGTCCTGGTCCTGAGTGGCATCTAGTGACCACTGAGTCTGCTGCTTGAGTCAAGGCTCACCCACACTGCCCTGGGGTTCCCACCTCACTGCCCTAAGTATTTAGCTCAAATACCTGCACCCCTCTCTCCCCTCACCTGGCATGCATCACACACCATCCCCTGGGTGCCTGGTAAGACTTCCCTTTAGCCCCCATACCTCAGGAAGGGAGACTGCTAGTGGCGTTTGGGTGTGACTGCTCCTTGTACGGGGAGTGGAGGGCTGTCCCCTCCAGAGCATGCACCTGCTGGCCCAGCCCCTGTGCTCCACATGGCCTCAGACATGGAAGCCGTCAGAGGTGGCTCCACACTCTTCCAGGAGCTCCCTCGACAGCAGTCTCCGAGTACTCTTAACCCCTGCTCCTCATTTACATGTGGGGAAACTGAGGCATGGAGGGAACACACAGCAGATCAGCAGCATCCTAGCTGCCCTACTGTGGGTGCCTCTGTCCCCGGGCTGGGGCCACCGACAGGGAAAGAACAGCCAGCACTGAGTGGTATCCTGCAGCATGATCCAGGAGTTAATAACCAAAGCCAGAGGTCCTCCATTTGATTGTCCACAGTGAACAATGTCAGGCTGCCAGGTACTGGGTGGTGGAGAGATAATCACGAGGATGTCTTTTAGGGCTGAAATTTTAAAATATCATTCATAAACACCCGTGTCTTTCTGCTGGGAAAGTAATTCCTTAGCCTTCTCTCTGCACATAAATATTAATATGTGTGTGCTAAAAAGCATTTTTACACTATAGCTGCACCCGGATCCAGTGTACCTAGAGGCGTGTGGCTTTTGCAGCCTGCCTTGTCTTTTCTGAGGGCTACTGTTTTCTCAGCTGAGTCTTTGAAAGTTTCTGTAAAAAAAAAGTCCTTTAGTATTGTCGCATGACTGCCTCTCTGTTAAGCCCTCCTTCGTCTTTGAAACAGAAGGTTTGAGAAATCTGGAAGGGTTTTCATGAAACTGGAATGTGCTGATGTGTCTAAGCATTTGGCAGACTGACTGGCACATAGTGGGGACTTAGGTGTCACCTATCCTGTGACTTTGGTGTCAATGGTGTCCCTTGTTTTAGGTGATGATTGGCTTCTAGTAAAGGACATTCAACTCAAGATCTAAGAAATAACTGAGCCCAGTTTGAAGCATGCATCATGGGCCATTATTAAATTTGACAGGGCCCACTTTTTGTTTTTTATTTACATTTACTACATAAAAACACAAGTTAATAGTAGAAAGAATTAGAAAGGAATTTTATAAAAAGATGGAAAGAAAATCTATAATCCTACTGGGTCAGTCAAGAGGTCCTTGGGAGAAACAGAACCAATAGCAAGTATACACACACACATTAATAGATTTATTTTTAAGGAACTGAATCCCGTAAGTATGGGAGCCAGAAAGTCCAAAATTGGCAGACCAGACCAGCAGTCTGGAAACTCAGGCAGGAGTTACCACTGAAGTCTTGAAACACAATTCCTTCCTCACCAGGAAGCCTCAGCTTCTCTTCTTAAGGCCATCAACTGGTTAGATAAGGCCCACCCACACCACCAAGTATAATTTTTCTTGCTTATTATCAGATACATGTAGCTGTTGATGTGGTCTTTGACCAAACAGCTGAATGTCACATGCTAGTCAGATTGACAGTAAGGTGATCATTATACCTACGATCCAGAAGCACCATGGCATTAGCATGTCATTTGCCTCTGCAGAGATTTCTATACCTAGGTAATTTTTAAAGAAAATTATTTTATGATAAGTGAAACTTTATATTCTTGAGTTTTATTTAAGATATCTCAGCACATCTTCATCTGGCTAAGATAAGCCTTCACACCTGTCCTTCCTATAGAGGTGCAGAATTCCATTTGTGACACCTTCACTCAATACGTCCTTTGCCTAACCCCCCTCCCCTTGTTCCCAGACACCTGCATCAGTTCTAGCCTTTCCCTGAGTAATTTCAAATAACGCTGCCATGAGCCTCCTTCCCGAGGCAGCGTTGTCCATATCCGCAGTGGACGCCCTCCCAGATCCCGATGCCCTATATGTGCCCACCAGGTCCCCCTTGCTGCGGTGATTCCCACTGGCAACAGCTCACAGCTGCCCTGTCTTGGAAAAACAGTCATTGGACCAACAAGACCCAGCAGCTTCTCCCAGGCAGAAACATCCCAGCAAGGGGGTGGGGCAGCCCAGAGCCAATGGGGCACTGCCAGCGGGAAGGGCAGGCAGACCAAGGCCAGGCCCCTTGTGGGTGGCTGCCACCCTGAGAGCAGCCCCAGTAAGACCCTTGGTTCAGGCTCTGCCTGCATGAACCAGCTAAGGCGCCCCTCTGATTGGGGCTCCTGCTGAGGTTAGCAGCAGCTGGCTTCCACGTTGCTCACTGTGCAGCCCGGTGTTGTCCTGCAGGGAGACCGCAGGCTGTGTCAGCAGTCACAGCCTGGAGGAGCTAGCGCCTGTGTAAGTAGAGACCCCCAAGGCCCAGCGCTTCTCCCCCAAAGCCCAGGATGAGGGTTAGGGAGAGACCCTGGTCCTGGAAGCGAAAACAATATTCCTGGACCATTTGCCTTCCTGAAAGCTCAAGTGCTCGCCCATCTCCTGGTGAGACTGAAAATCCTCTGTGGACTGTGTCATTTCCCAGATGGGCTTTTCCCCAGCATTGAGAAGGAGGAGATGAAGCCAGGGGATGTTGCCAGTTTTAGAGAAGGGGATAGTGCGGTCCAGGGAGAGGTCATCGCAGTGCCTGGATGGTGCACAGAGGGGCTGGGGTTGAGCTCATGGGCTATGAACAGAGCTACTCAAGAACAGAAAATGCGTCCGCTCTTGCTGGCCCTGCTTTAGCTTGCTGTGTGGCGCTGGGGAAAACTCGCCTTCTCTGGGCTTCCTTCCAAGGTGGTTCTCCCCTCTAGATCTGACTCCTGCTGCCTCTGACCGTTCCTTCTCCCTCTGACTCTTCAGATGGAAGTGCAGTGTTCCGAGGCTGCTTCCGCAGGCCCGACAACCTCTCCCTGGCCTTGCCTGTGACGGCCGCCATGCCGAACATGTCTGTGGACAAGTGTGTAGACTTCTGCACGGAGAAGGTGAGCGCAGAGTCCTGCTCGCAGCGCTGGGACTCGGGGAGGGCTGAAGGGGCAGAACACACTGAGAAGCCACAGTCGGGATGGAAGAGGTCACAGATGGGGATCTGGGACACGGGAGAGGACTATGGTGCTGCATGTGATTTTCCCGAGTGCAGGGCAGAGTCTGCCCCTCAGAGTGCATACTGATAACGCTCAGAAGTGAGGGTGGAGTTTGGACTGGGGAAGAGTGAGCTCCCTGTCACTGCAGGTGTGCAAGAGAGGCAGGGCAGGGCTGGCATCCAGAAGTTTGGGCTCTGGATGGCAGTTCAACTGGACGCTCTATAGGTCCCTCCTCGGCTTAAGAACTTTGATGCCTGACGTTTCTCCTGTAGGTATTCATTGGGTGCTGCCTCAGCCCCCGCCCAGAGCTGGGCGCCTAACTGCCAATCAGTGATGTCTGAGGAGCTCCAGCCTTCCTTTAAAAGGAGCTAATTACATGAGTGTGTAAAGAACCATCCCTCCTTCCCTTCCAAAAGGTTCATTCATTTACTCTCAGATATTGAAAGAGGAGCCACTGTGTGCCAGGCCCCATGCCGAGCGCTGGGGATGCAAATCAGCGAACTATGGTGTATGTGCCCACCACGGGATTTGCTGAGGGCCTGAGCACTCCTCCCCGAGGCCTCAGACCCCTGCTCCGGCTCCTCCTGCTTGGCCGTTTCTCTCCGTGGCTACTCATGCACAAAGCCTCTTTCAGGAGGGCTGGGAGACTGCAGTGGCCGAGGCTGAGTGTGCTCAGAATGTCCTCCCCCTACCCTCTGGGGCACAGTCTTATCACAGACCTGTGAGTTTGAGATTTTCGCCCTCATTTCATGGTGGGAAAAACAAGACTTGAGCGTGAAGCTCTTTGTCCAAGCTCACAGCATGAGCTGGGTTGACAGTAGGGGCCGACTCCAAACCCACGCCCTAGCTGCCAAGCTACCCTGGAGACCCCACAGATGGGCTGTAGAGCCACTGCAGAGTGTCCCAGATACTTCTGGTCTCCAGGCATTCCGAGTGCTCCCTGTGCTCTGAGAGGCATCCTGGAGGAGAGGAGTGAGGTCCATGAGACTTCAGGAGGCTGAGCCTCACTAGGCAGGAATCCCCTGCCTGCATAGTGCTCCCTCTTGTCAGATAGCCCTCCCTCTCTGAGTGCCTGGAGAAGGGTACAGATCAGCCAGAGCAGGAGACCCACACACAGGAGACGAGCAGCCACAGGACAAGCCAGCAGGACAGGGCAGGCTGCACACAGGAACAGCGGCAGCACAAGTGGACATGGATGGGAAAGCCCCTCCATAAGCCGCCCTCCTCCATCGTCTTGGATCTCCTTGGGGCTCAAAGAGAAAACTGAGGGGATCAGGTGGGCAGGCATAGAATTGCTGGTGCCAAAAGATGAGGGTCTGGAGTGACCAAGGAGGCTCCACTAGCTAGAAAATGTCATCACCCGTGGGCCGGGTAGCCCGGCTTGCACATCAGCACCTCTCCCTCTGCTCTTCATCCAGAGACCACAGTTCCTCTTTGGTATCTGTTAGAAAGAAGCCAAACCTACGCTACAGCACCCTTGTGACTTTGGCACGGTACTGGGTTCTTCCTGTACAGGCTCCTGGGGGAACTCCAGGCTGTGGGTCCAGTGTAGAAGTGGACATAGATGGTCACTTGCCCTCCAAATGTCGGGTGCACCCTGCTCCCACTCAGCTGCCCCATAGAAAAGTAAAGTGATCAGATGCAGCTCTTTCAACAGAGCCTCCGGACAGGCATCAGGGTCAGCATTCTTTATGACTCCACAGAACGGTGTCAGGCAGCCTTTCCCAAAATGCAGGCTGCATGTCACCGTCAGAGCAAGGTGCTGTTTACCGTGGTATATTGCGTGACACAGAGAGAAGCATTTCTTTCTCAGTTCTCTTTCAAGTCCTCGAGGAGTGAGCTGCATCTAGTGTCTTTCATACGTCCCTCAACTAATCTCTCTTTTACAGGAAAAATGGAGCTGACCCCAGGCTCAGCATCTTGGCAGGCAACAGTGCTGAGATAGAATGTAATTACAATCCCTCCTCCTTTTGGGGGACGCATGTACCAGGATGCCCAGCAGCTACCAAAGTCCAAGGATGTGCAAGTCCTTTATATAAAGTGGCACAGTATTCACGCAGAACGTATGCACATCCTCCTGAATACTCTAGATCATCCTGAGACGATTTATAATACCCCATACAGTGTAAATGCTTTGTAAACAGTTGCTCTCTTCTACTGTTTAGGGAATAATGACAAAGAAAAGAAGGTCTAAACATGTTCAGTACAGACGCACATTTTCCAAATATTTGCAATCCACGGTCGGCTGGATCTGTGGGTGTGGAGTCTACAGATTGTTTTGTTTCCGTAGCATTTGGTATTTGCATTTATACTATAGAAGCATGCATAAGAGCTACGTGTCCACAAGTACTTCCTGTAGTAATTAGTGGTGCAAAATTTCCTTTCAAATTTAAGTTTTAAAAATTGAGTTGACTTGAGCCAGGTGCGGTGGCGCACGCCTATAAGCTCAGCACTCCAAGAGGCTGAGGCAGGAGGATCACAAGTTCTGAGCTTAGCCTGAGCAACTTAGCAACTTAACAAGATCCTGTCCTAAAAGTAAAAGTTTTAAGAAAGAACTGACTTCCAGAAACTAAGAATCAGAGGTGCATAAGTGGGACAGAATTGCAAAGGCCAGGCTCCCTGACAATGTCTGGAGACTGTCGTTGAGGGACGTGATGCGGAAGGGGGTGGCTGGATGTGAATCCTGACCCCTTCCCTTCCTCTTCCACTCCACCCCAGGAGTACCCGCTGGCGGCTCTCGCAGGCATCGCCTGCCACTGTGGGTTTCCCACCACGCGATTTCCCCTCCACGAGAGAGAAGACGAGCAGCTCTGTGCCCAGAAGTGCAGCGCAGAAGAGTTTGAAAGCTGCGGGACCCCCAGCTACTTCATTGTGTACCAGACGCAGGTGCAAGGTGAGCCAGCCCCCTCCCGCCCCCGTGGCTTCTGTGCAGCCTATGTCCTAGTCATCTGGGCCGGGGACAGGGCTGGGAGCTTGGCTAGGCCCAGGGCTGTGCTGGACAGCAGAGGGAGCGCTTGGCAAGATTCTAATGAACCTATCCCCTCTGTCCACCATCCCTAAGGACCTTTAATGGCTCGTTGCTAATAGTAGAGGCAGGGAGGTTGAGTGGGGACAGAGACTTGGGTCTTGCACTGGCTCCAAGACAGACCTGTGATCACAGGCAGGTCGTTCCCCTCTCCAGGCTCCAGTTTCGGGACTTGCCAGAAGTCACACTGCTTATAAAACCTTTTGCCTAACGATTGTGCGAGGTGGTTGCCACTTGGGTCAGGCATTGCTCGCTGGGACACAGCCCTACAGAAACCCCTGAAGGGTCGCCCCACGCTCCAAACCAGTCTTATGGCAACCTTCGTCTCATTTAGGGATGTGAGGTCCACAGGAGTCCGATGCTCTGGGCAGTATCATCCCCACTTCACATAGAAGACAGCCATGCCCAGAGGGCTTCCGAACCAGCCACAATTACACTTCCATGAGTGCAATTTGCTTTCAGGTCCCAGACTCCAAAGGCCCTACTAGAAACCTTGGCCCGTGGTGTGAATGACACTCTCCACACCATCTGAAGCCTCATCAGCCAACAACATACTTTTGGGCCAAACATTCTTCCTTCTTTTCCTGTAACCAGGCCACCACATACAGATGGGCAGGCTGGGCACTGAACAGGAATGGCCTACTCTTCTATGGTGCCTGAAAGGTGGCCTGTGCTGCCACACCACACAGGCCAGATGGCAGCACACCTGCCTGGAGGAAAAGGCATTTGCCCTTTTTTTGATTTGCACAAAAGTCCAAGAGCTTGTGGCAGCCCCGTCCCCTGTTTGGCATGATGGGTACCGGGTGCTGGCCAACCGTGGCTACTTCCTTGGCAGCTGAAGTCTGCTGATGGCTTCTCAGCCATTTATTTATGCTCCAGTGAGGAGGGATGAATCTTGTTAGTTTTGGGGGTGTGTCGGTTCATCTAGGCAGCCACAGGGCCTTGGCCAGAAAAGGGGCATAACAGATTGATTACGCTCTGGCCATGAGTGGCTCTGATGTGGCCTAGATAGACACTGGAGTGTTTTCAACAACAGAAACAGGCTCGGTGGATGAGTCTGCTCATTCCTCATGCCCTGGCCCAGGCCATCACTGCCCCTCCATTTTCCCATGTCACCCTGAACCCACAAAGAAGGTTCGAGCATCAGGTGGTCTGTCAGGCTGCCAAGTACCTGGCCCAGCTGGGAGCCCAGCTGCCACCTGTTGAGAACCTACTGCACACTAAGCCCTGATCTTCCCAAGGAAAACTAAATAGCTCTTACATGTTTATCGTCTGCTGAGCACTGTTGAAGCCCTTTGTCTGGCCAAACGCATCTAATCTCAGTGCTCCAAAGTCATAGGTGCTGCATTACCGTTTTACAAGTGAACTGACCCAACATACAGAAAGCAAGGAGGGCACGGCCTGGACAGGGCAGAGCTGGGGTTCAAACCCAGGCTAAGTCAAGCCCAGTCCCAAGGCCGGGTTTGTATCCATTCCTTCTCAATGGGCGTTGCAAATACTTCACATTCGCTATGCTCTTTAATCCTAGAGGTTTCTTAGCTTTGTTTCACAAATGAGGAAACAAAGATTCAGAGAGGTGTCAGCCATTCTTCAGTGTCCTGAGAGTTCAGGATGGAAGCCCAGGTGAGGTGGTTGAAAGCATTGCTGGTTTGGCCGGAAGCCGTTGCTGTCATTTCTAGAGCTTTAGACCCAAATAAGCCTTCTCTTTAGCCCTGAGAACAGCAGCCTCTGTCTCAGCACTGCTGTTGTTCTCCCAGGAGTTGTCTGAATGGAGAATTCTGTTTTCAGGGGAGATTAAGAAGCTGGTTCCCCACCCCAGCCCCACCCTGCATTGTGGGAGAAAAAAGTCAGACCTCAGAAAAATCCAGACTCGCACAAAGAACATTCAAATGCTCTTTCGTAGGTTTTATATTTGTTAACTTTTTGCAGAATTTCTTGACTGTATATCTCTCCATCTCTTGATCATTATTTCTCTGATGCATTTTTTTTTTTTTTTTTTTTTTTTTGTCTTTTTCCTTTTTATCAGTACCGGGGATCGAACTCACGACTGCCTGCTTGCAAGGCAGGTACTTATGCCGCTGAGCTAAATCCCCAGCCCCCTCTGATGCATTTTGAAGCTGCAAACACCACTGTATTTCCGTAATGCGGGCTTGCTTGGGATTTTTTGAAGTCACATTTCCGTGGGGTGAGATGCACAAATTTTAAGGGGACTAGTGCACAACCTCTTGGCAATCCATACCCAGATCTAAATATAGTAGAACATGGTCATGTTCTAGATAAAGTACCGCTATTCGGGATCCTTTTTTGGTGTGTTTGTGCAAAATCTACTCACAGAGTCTACCCAGGCATTCTTCGGTATATCCTTCCTGAATCCACCGTCCTCAGAACAGAGTGGGCACACTGAGAGAAGAGGACAGAACCTCCGATTGGCAGTGCTAAGAGCTACACTTGGTGTGTGGTGGAGGCTTTACAGGTGTGAGCCCCATGCTGAGGTGCCAAGTTCACGCTCCAGTTTAACTTTCCTGACACCTTTGGCCACCACTATTACTTAGCAGTCCCATTTTACAGATGAGGAAATTGAGGGGCAGATAAATTGTTTCAGGGTCACCTGGGCACATAAATGGCAGAAACGGCATTTGAATCTAGAACATCAGACTTCTTCTTGAAAAGGCTGTTGTGGAGAATCATCAAGGCTCCTGGTAGGATTTCCAGTAAATGGCAGCTAAGGCAGACTGGGAGGAAATTAGGGTGACACCTTGGGAAGGAATCATCAGCGAGGCCAAGCGGTCTGAGGCTCTGAGCCTGGGCAGCAGCTAGCAGTGAGCAGCCCCTGGGGACCTGGCAAGAGCTGCCACTGGGCAGTGACCAAGATGGGGGCTGAGGAGCACATGGAAGGGAGGATGCAGCGTGGGGGTACGCAGTCAACTCTCCCCGGTGCCCGGCTGCTGAGTGATGGGGGACAGGCATAGGTGCAGTCGCTGGAGCAGGAGGGTTTCAGTGATGGGGCTTCGGGTTCGTGTTTGAACATTAATGATACTGAGTTGGCGGAGAGGAAGAAAATGGGTTGGCAGTGACGAACGGAACAAGAATTTGGGAGAGGAGGGTGGGAAGGCAATGCAGGCTGCCAGCTCCCCCGGAAGTGGGAGGCAGAGGCTACGGGAGGTGAGGAAAGATCACCCGCCTTCCCTGCTGGTAAGGACCGGGTTCACCTGCCCATGTGCAGAAGGCAGGAGGAACCCTGGGCCTCCATCTCTTCTTCCTTCTCTCCTCCAGAGCCCCTGTACTGAGGTTTCTCTCAGCTTTCCTCACAGCTACAGGCACCCAAGAAAAATCACAGGTTTTTGGCTCCCACAGGGTTACAGGGGATATGCCCAGCATGCATTTTCCAGGAATTCTAACAGTAGTGACACCCTGAGGTGTCAGCAAAGCCAAAGAATCAATTATATCAGAATGGTAGTCACCTAACCCATTTCACAGATTAGGAAACTGAGGGCTAGTGAAACATAGTAACTCCTCCTTTGGAGTATTAACATATTACATGCATTGTTTATTTAATCCTTGCAAAAAGTTCTACCAGGTAGATGTTACTGTCACCCATCCATCCGCAGATTCATTCATGTGCCCATCTATCCAGCTACCCTGAAAGCACTTATTAATCACCCACTGTATATCAGACATTATGGAAAGTAGTGGGGAATCAGCAAGCACAATACAGGCAGAGTTTCTGATAGTGTATATGACAGTGGTGCCCTAAGACTAACGAAAGCTCCAATCCAAGGTACTTAACTGAGAGAGGAGGATCGCAAGTTAGAGCTCAACCTGGGCAATTGAGTGACTTAGCAAGAAATTTTCTCTAAATAAACAAATAAGGGCCAGGGATGTTACTCAGTGCAAAGTGTGTGGGTTCTACCTCCAGGACAGCAACAAAACAACACAGTGGGGGTTAAGTGAGGAGAGAAACAGAGAGTGATGCACAGGTTATAATGGAACTGCAGAATTCCTATCACTTAGTGTTTGTAATATGCTTTTCTGTGTTTATACATGTCCAGGGACTGTCTCAGTTACTTTTCTTATTGCCGAGATAAAATATCCAACAGCCAAAGTTAAAGGAGGAAAGGTTTAGTTAGCTTGCAATTTGCAGGAGTTGGTAATCGGCTGACTCCAAAGCAGGGTGGCGTGGCAGGGGGACATGGTAGGCAGAAGATAGCAAAACAAACAAGGGCCCAAAACAGCATCTTTCTGCTTCTTTTATCTAGTGTAGGCCACTGAGGGGGCAGCACTCACAGCCTTAATCCTCACACCCTTGAGCCTAGCATTGCACCGTGAGTCAGTGCGAACACCACACCTCTAGATCGGTCACTCTGAAAAAGCCCCACCTATGACTGCATGAGGCTTTGGGGGGACCTCTAGACACAAACCATAACTGATACACAAGTACTACCATGGCACAGTTGTCTGCTGCACGCTGCCCAGTAGCAGGCCTTTCAGGGGCGTAGCCTGGGAATGAGGGCTGTGTTGTACAACCCTCGTGTGTGCAAGGACACGCTGTGATGTTTGCACAACGACGAGATGGTGCATTTCTCGGAAATCTGTGCACTTCTCAGAAATGCACCTGACTGCAGATATTTACTGACCCGACACTATGCTGTCCCTAGAGGTGCACGTTCACTTTGGGAGACGTTGCTTGAGTTACAATTGTGACAACAGATGTGGAGGCAGTGAGCATATTAGCACAGTAATGATGGCTCAAGGACGTACTCACCCCACAAGGGCACCTCAGAAGCCAAGCAGGAAAGCGGCAGTGGTGGGCACAGCACCCCTGAGGCGCCCCATCAGGACGAAGCAGAGGAGGAGTGGACCAAGAGGGATGGCCGGAGGAGGAGGGCGGGAGGCCCTGTGGCGGGGTGCCCAAGGGCCCCTCTGCAGGTCTTGAGGCCAAGGTAAGAGGCCTGGGCCCGATCCCATGTGGACAGACGCCAGCAGGGTTTCAGTAAGGAGAAAAGGGTGAAGGTGAATGTGACAGACTTGCTCTGCAGGGGAAACTGAGGCCGGGGAGGAGATTCATCCTCATGGCTGACTTTCATTAAATACTATATGTTAAGTACTCTACTTGCACTACTTTTTATATGTGACTTTACGTAATCTTCACCTCACTCTGTGAAGGACACATTTCCCTCATGTTACAGATGGGGAAACTGAGGCCCGCATGAGTTTTGATCATGCGTGCTGGGTCACACGACTGAGCAACGGCAAGGGTTGGGTTCCTCCCCCGGTCCTCTCTGGATGGGCCTCGGCTGCCTGTGCCCCTCATGTCTATATGTGCCCCCCACCCTTTGCAGACAACCGCTGCATGGACAGAAGGTTCCTTCCTGCCAAGTCCAGGCAGCTCATAGCTCTGGCCAGCTTCCCGGGTGCCGGCAACACGTGGGCCCGGCACCTCATCGAGCTGGCCACTGGCTTCTACACAGGCAGCTACTACTTTGATGGTTCCCTGTACAACAAAGGTAAGGAGATGGGCAGAGAGGGAGGCTGCCTGGACTTAAGAAGGGGTCCAGGGGTGGGCATGGACCCCTGAGCTGCCAGTGGAAGCTACTATGTGCTTGGCACCTTCCCTTCTTTTATATCTGACAAACATCTCTTGAGTTTTCTGTCCCTAGTACCTGTCATCTGCGCCCATTCGGTAACTGACATTTCTCAATCACCTACCACGTGCCTGGTTCCTTCATTCAGGTCAACCCTTAAGCTCCTACTGTGTACTGAGCACCTTAGATATCCACTCACCAGTCACTCTGTGCTGTCCATGGAGGTGCACATTCATCCTGGGGCATTGATCGGGCACCAGGTTGAGTTCACAGATGTTTCCTGATCACTAGTATGTTTGGGGTGTTCTTAAGTTTGGTTTTCAGCATGCATCTATAGGGCACCGACTGTGTACGCTTTGTGGGTATTCAGATCACACAGATGTTCTCCTGGCCACCTGGTAAATGGGCCAGACGGGACACGCTTCCCTAAGCCACCCCGAAGCCTGGGGCAGGATAATGCTGCTCTTTCCTAGACACAGAAACTGAGGCTCAAAGAAGGAAAATACCAAAAGTCACATAAACGTGCTTTCAACGCGCTCATCAGAAACCACACCTGTTTTTTAATTTCAGATTCTGCCTCTTTCTTACTCTGTCACCCAGGCAAGGAACCCCTGGATTTCTCATTGTGATCTAGAAACCATGGATGTCCCTGGGCGTGCAGCCCTCTCCTTGGCATGGTGGGGCATCGGGAAGTAGGTCCTCTGCCTCCTCCAGGGGTTTTTCCATCTGTGTAGGAAGCAGCCCTTAGCCATGGTCTTTGGTTCTACAAAGCAGCTGAGGACCACTTCCTAGCTGTGTGACCTTGGGCAAGCTACTGCGTCTCTCTGATCATGTGTGATTAGACACAAATTGGAGATAACTCTATGGACTTAGGTTATCTCAAAACTGAGGAGTTAATATATGTGGCATGCTTGGCAATAGTATATAGGCTGTGAGCATTAGGGCCTGGGGACTGGGGGCTCACTATGCACAGATTGAGAGTTGACAGAGAGCCACACCCAAACTGTAGCTCAGAGAGGGCCAGGAGCAGGTCTCTGAGAAAAAAAACAAAAACAAAAAACAGAAAGAAGGCAGAGACTGGGGATAGGGGGAGATGAGAAAGGTTGGAGTCATCAGGGGGAGGAATAGGTGACCTGTGTAGAACCCCAACTCGTTGACACCATCATTGACTTCTAGTTTGGGCTTCAGTGGTCATTTATTGAGCGTCTACGTGGGGCTGATTGTGTTGCATGTTTGTGTCAGGATTTGAACCCAGGCCTGGCTATCAGCAGTACCTGTGCTCCTGACCCCCGGCTGCACCATCGTGGTGAGAGCTGCTGGAGCATCTTTTCTCTCTCAGAGGCAGAGTGGCTTAATCTAGCAGTGCTTCTTGTTGGAAGTGTAGAAGGATGAACAGTGGTCTCCGGGTCAAGTACTCGGCCTCTAACTTCAGAGAAAGGGAAATTAAATCTTAAGGTGGGATCCGGGGATCCAACCTTCAGCCTGAGAGCTCACTCGGAGGCTTGGGCCACATTTGCCATCTTTCTGAGCTTTCATTTCCTGGTGGGTCGGCAAGGAGCTCACAGGTTTTTCCAAAACTATAATAAGATAGTGTTTGTCAGATAACATGTGTGAGGCTGTGGTGTAAAAACTGTACATGCTCTTTTAAATGACATGTGACCCAGAAATCAGCTGGTTATCAAAGTCAGAGAGGGGCTGGGCCCTGACTAAACAATTAGAATCACCATAGAGCTCTTAAAGTCTCAACAGCTGCTCCCCGCATCTTTTTTTTTTTTTTTTACCAGAATTCTAGGGCTGGGCCAAGCCTTGGTATTTTCTCAAATCTCTCCGGAGGATTCTGATGCAAAGCCCGAGCTGAAACCCCAGCTCTAGGCTAAGGACTCGGTCTTCTTGCCTTCAGAGCTGTAATATTCCAACATTTCATCTCTGCCCCGCGTTTGGTGTACTCCAGTGCTGTGTGATAACGAATCATCAGTAATGCAGTGAGGTGCTTTGTGACTCAGCTTCCCACTGCCGTGATAAATATCACAGCCAAACAACAGCAAGAAGAAAAAATATATTGGGGTTCACAGTTTCAGAGGTCTCATTCATGGTGGGTTTGACTCCATGGTTCTCAGGCTGGTGGGCAGAAGGACCCGGGGAAGGCGAGATGCTCACCACACGGTGGCTGATGGCAGTAGAGGACAGGTTGGGGCGAGATACGTCCTCAAGGCTCATCCATGAGAACCTGCTCCCTTCAGCTAAGCCATCATCCTCCGCGAGCTCACCAGATCAGAAACCTATCAGTGTATTAATCCATTGACGAGGTCAGGGCCCTCGTCACCCACTTGCTTCCCAACAGCCTCCCTTCTGACCACTGCTACACTGAGGACCACGCCTCCGACATGAGCTTCTGGGACCAGTTCACATCCAGACAGGGAGGCCCCCAGATTGGCTGAAATCTTGCTAACTCTTAAAGATAATGGGATTTGTAACTGTGCCTCATTTACATAATGGAGGTGCTAGGCTCTGTGGCACAGAGGGACTGAGGAAGGAGTCCCGGGGGTGCCATTCAGAGGCTCTGCTCTGGCCTCAGTCGCACAGCTCTGATTCTCCCTGCTGTCCTTCAAAGACAGCTGAGTGATCACCTGTTGTTTTCTCAGGAAAGCCCCTCCCATGTGGCTTCTCCACAACCCCTCCCACACTGGAACCCCCCTTTCCTTGGGAGCCATCCCCACATTTCCAGGGCTCCTTACACAGTAGCTCCTCAGGCAGCCACACCCTGGAATCTGGAGCAGATGTCTCGAGATGTCATGGTTTTCCTTGTTTACATTTGTTTTCATCTCCATAAATATTGTGCTAGGTTGACCCCATCATGGACAAAGGGAAATGTGACTTTGGTGTCACAGTGCACAGAACTGATTTAAAGCTGTTTGACCATTAGGCCATGATTCTGATGATTTATTTTTCCTGAGAGCCTGGGTGTGTTCGTCTGTACTTTCCTGCCTGTGTTTTTCCATGAATGGTCATAATGAAATGGATTTCAGTGAAGGTAAACTAAGTCACAGAGGGAATGTCGGTGTTGTTCATTGTGCCTAGGTGGAATGCATGACATGAAATTGCACCAAGGGCTCCACATTTAGGCCCACACTCTCTCAAGCCCCATGCCCTACTCCTCGCTGTCCTCTGGAGACAATTTTCCCCACAATCCTGTGCATCCCCTGTCCTCCAAGGCTGGGGAGAATATTTTATCACGGAGATAGGCCAGAGCTAACGGGCAGGCTAGGCTGATCCCTGTAGCTTGGCATGGCCAGTCCAAAAATGGAGCCCAACGTGAAGCGCATTCCACCCTGGCTTTTCTGCCCAGTGGCCCTGTGAGGGTGGCCACACACCCCTGGGCCCCTGACTCCAAGAAGAGAACTAGGTACCACACCAGCTCTTACCTCATCCACCTTCGAAGCCGAACACAAATCATTAAAAGCTTTCCTGAGTGAGCGGGGAGGGGACTGGTGAGGGAGGGCGGCTTCTCTGTCCACGACTTCACCTTTGCTTTGGCTGTGCTAGCTGCCACAACTTCTCATGATGACCACATGAGGTGGGGGTTACAGGTGGGGAAACTGAGGCCCAGAGAGGTGACCCAACGTCAGAGTCGCTCACTGAGTTGGAAACACAGCCACTCTCCTGGAGACCTGCTAGGTAACATTTCTCCTTGGCCCTCAAGATTCCTTCCAAATGCTCTGTCCTCGTGAGATTGGGGGTGTAGACTCAGAACCCTGGCTGGCCTGAGTCTGTATACTGGCTCTGCCTCCCCCTAGCTTTGTAACTGGGGTGAGTTATTCAACCCCCCTGCCTCAGTTTCCCCATCTGTAACATCCCACGTAGAGCCACTGAGAAGACTGAATCCTCCAGTACGTGCAGGGGCTCAGGCCAGAGTCCCACATGGCATCATCACTGTGAAAGTGCTTCCTCCTTCCCCAGCTGCAGGAACCCCCGCCAGGGCCTCAGCTTCTGAAATGAAAAGCAGGTCAGACGCCTTTTTCCTCTGGCTTACACCCTCTTAAGGGCTGCGGGACCCTCCCTCAGCACCCCAAACCCTCTCCAGTCCCATCCATGCCCCTCCCCTGCTGTCTGTGCTCCCTCTCCCTTGTGATACATTTCTTCCCACCGGCCACAGGACTTTGCACCTTTGTCCCCACCCGCTGACCGATTCCTGTGCAGGGAAATTGTCCTCACCCTTCCGTTCTCAGTTTAAGCACCTCTTCCCCACCCCACACCTTCCTGGACATCACCTGACTTTGGCCTGACTTGCCAGCTTCAGGCTGCAGGCTGAGATCGTGTGTGTTCTGTCTCTCACTAATTACAATCAATGCCCTCTGCCACCCCAGGGATGCCCTTCCCATGGAGACAGAGGAATCAGGGGCACCTGAGATATGTTCACACCACAGGGAAGTCTTAAGACTTCCGCAGAAACCCACTTCCACCTTCTTCCTGTGGGTCAGAACAGGTGTCCTGTGGCTCTCATGGAGTGGACGTGAAGCAGCTGTACCCGAAGTGGAACTGTCAGGCCCGTTTCCTAGCACCCAGATATTAACTTTTATTGCACTGAGCATGACTGTGACTCTCATTTGCATCACTGATTGACTAATCTGGCTCTCAAAGCCTGTAAGCCTTATGGATGGATTTATTTATTTTGCAGTACTGGAGGTTGAACCCAGGGCCTTTGCACTGAACTACATCTCCAGCCATTTTAATTTCTTTTTATTTTGAGAGAGAGTCTTGTTAAATTGCTAAATTGCCCATGCTTGTCTTGAATTTGAGGTGCTCCTGTCTCAGCCTCACATAGTGGTGGGGTTATAAGGGATTACAGGTGTGCACCATCACACCCAGCTTCTTTTTTGCAAATCACTTTCATCCCCAGACTCCTACTGCAGAAGCCAGCACACAGCATAGTGGTTACTCGGTAAATCCAGGGATCAGGGTGGGCTTCCTCACCCCAGCTGGCCTGCCTGTTCCTAACCTCTAACCTCTGGGCTGGATCCCCAAGGGTTCAAAGGTGAGCGGGATCACTGGCGCAGCGGGCGGACCATCTGCATCAAGACCCACGAGAGCGGACAGAAGGAGATCGAGGCCTTCGACGCCGCCATCCTGCTCATCCGCAACCCCTACAAGGCGCTCATGGCTGAGTTCAACCGCAAGTACGGTGGACACATAGGTTTTGCGGCGCATGCGCACTGGAAGGGCAAAGGTAAGGCCTGAGGGAAGGGGAGGGGCTTGAGGGGCGGGGAATGGGGCGTGGCCAGGGAAGGGGCGGGCTTAAAGTCATCCTGCAAATCCAATTGTCTGCTGTGGGTCCAGCTCACACTACGGAGAGTTAAGTCCCACTGCCCACCTCGCCCACAAGCGACAGCCTCTGAGCCCGGCTGTTACAAGCAAAGGTGGTTATGTCTGCGGGCTCTGAAGCAGACGACCTGGGCTCCAGCCCACCCTGCCACTTCCCGGAGCAGCTCCTTACACTCTGGACATCTGAGCCCAGATAAGATAGTGCGGATGTGGGAAGTTATTCCTTTTACAAACCTTTGATGGGTGTGACTGTCACTGTGGTGATGGAGATCCTCATGAGACTGGCGAGGCATTGGCCAAGGCAGGAGACTCGAATTCAGTGCAACATCAGCGACTGTGGGACAGGGAGGTCCTGAGAGCTCAGGTGCAGAGCGTCCTTTCAGCGAACCTTCCAGTTGCGCTGCGAGGCAGGTCCCAGAGCTGTTGGAAATGGTAGTATTGGCCTCCAAGAAGATCTGGGTCTGAGATTCAGCTCTGACATTATTAGGCAATAGAGGAGCCTGTGTGACAAATGTTTAGCACAGAGAGGTGGCCTAGGGTAGCGGTCAGAGCTTAGAGATTTAAGACCCAAATTCCACCATCTTGAGCATCTTTTAAAATCCCATATCTGTCAACTTGACTGAGTATTTTAGAAATGCTTAACTTTTTGTGTGTGGTACTAAGGCTTGAACCCAGGGCTTTTGCACTGAGCTACATCCTCAGCCCGTTTTTAAAGTTTGAGACAGGTTCCTGTTAAGTCATTGAGTTGCCCAGGCTGGGTTCAAACTTAAGATGTTCCTGACTCAGTCTCCCAGCATGCTGGGAATGCAGGGTACACCCAGCTAGAGGTTAACTTCTAAAACCCCCACAATAATTCCCGCTATTTCATCCCTGGGACAACCCAAGTTCAGAGAGGTCAAGGAGCTTTTTGGGGTGGAGGTTTGCAGTTACATAGATGACTAGATTCTGACTTCCTGTGGCCAATGGGAAGGTATTATCTGCTTAAAATTTGTCAGGAGGGCAGATCTCATGTAAAGTGTTCTCTTTTTTTGGTACTGGGGATTGAACTCATGACCTCACACTTGCCAGGCAGGTGCTTATGCCACTGAGCCAAATCCCCAGTCCCTGTAAAGTGTTCTTAACACACAAGCACATCCATATATGTTCACACACACACATACACACACAAAGACACCAGTAGATTTTGGAAGATGATGGATGTGTTTATGACCTATGGGAACACTAACACAATTGTATCCCCATACCCCATCTCCAAATTGTACATATTAATTATGTGCAGCTTTTTGCTTATTATTGCAGTTCTAGCTCAGTAAGGCTGATGGAGAGGAACTTTTCCATGAAGTGGTGGAGCAGGGATTTGAACTCAGGATTTGCTCCTGAGTTCACACTGTTAAGCACTGTACTTTGCTGATGGACTGCAGATGGTCCTCAGCTTATGATAGACCCACTTGTGATGGGAAGACTTTATGATATGCAAAAGTACAACCATGCAACCAATTCTTTTCTCTTTCAATACAGTAAATAAATTGTATGGGATACTCAACACTTTATTAAAAACAGGCTTTTTGTTACATGACATTGCCAGTTGTAGTCTAATGCAAGTGTTTGGAGCATGTTTTAGGTGGGCTGGGCTTACACTGGGATGTTCAGTGGATCAGGTATATTCGATGTGTTTTAGATGTACAGTATTTTCAGCTTACAAAGTGTTAGTTTGGACATGGCCAGTCTTAAGTCAAGGAGCTCACCTCAGTGAGCTGTTAGTGGCTCTGGGTCAGCTGGTCTAGAGTCCCAAAAACTCAGCAGGTACTCTGTGGATGTGAGCTGCCCCCAGTTCATCCAGCCTCCAGACACCAGGCTGCTCCCAAATGCCAGCCCCTCCATGGAGACAGAGCATGGCAGGCTGCCATCACCTGTACCCTCCACATTGATTTTTTTTTAAGCAAACCCTTGCCCTGGCCAGCAGGGTGTCACAGAAGTACAGACGCTGCTGACTGGGAGTGGGAGGGACCTGAGGATCATTGAACCCCTCATCCTCAGCCCAGGCTGCACATTAGACTCCCTGGAAGGAGCCTGGGAAAATCCCAGTGCCTAGGTTGCACCCAACCCATTGCCAGGGTGGAGCCCAGACACCATGGTTTTTAAAACTCAGCTCCTTCCAGTGTGCAGGCAGGGCTGAAATCCCCAGCGTCCCTGTGTGTTGGTGAGGAAACTGAGGCTTAATGAGAATTAGAATCTGCCAAGGTCACTTGAGTACCAGGGGCAAAACTAGCCCGAGGACCAGCCCTTCCACCTCCCAGGCCTCCTGATGCCTGAGGGAGGATGGAGAGGATTAACTCAGGAAGTTCATGGGCGCTGAGCATTTGCTACCTAAACTCCCCAATCACACGGGGAAGTGAGAAGGGTTGTCATGGCATCAGTAGCATCTCACTGTACAGCCCAGATTGGGACAAGTCCTTGACTAAAGAAAGCCCCAGGCATAGGCTGAGCTGCGATCCAAACTCAAGCACTGACCACCAGACTTCGCTCTTGCCCTGGGTTGCTGCAAGATGCCTCATCTGCTCAGAGGCTCCCCACTCCTGCAGGGGTCCCTGCTTTGGCTTCAGACCAGTCCCCAATTCCCAGAAGTCATCTCTTCTGTTTTGTCTTATTCAAGACAGCTAGAAAGTATAAAGTAGGAAGAGGAAAGATTTGGCACAGACTGGACCAAGGGGCTGCAGGGGGCACAGAAAGGACGCTGTGCCACACTCAGCTCCTGTGAGGACTGCAGTCCCACGCTGGTCTGGAGTTGGGGGAACAGGCCTTCTGCCAGCACCCCCTCCCAGGCCAGACCCAGACTCTACAAAGAGCAGAGTCTCCAGTGTCCACTCTGGCCATTTCTCTCATTCCACCATCTGGACACTGCAGCATTTGAGTTTGAGACCCTAGCTTTTGGCTCCCCATCCCCTGGCTGCAGCATTGCTGGTGAGCTGGTTAGAAATGCAAATTCTCCACTTGCACTTGAGACCTACAGAATCGGGAACGCTGGCACCAGGGCCCCCTGCTCCTTGCAACAGCCCCCCAGGACTTCTGATGAGCACTCCGCTGAGGGACCTCTACTTAAAAGCCTGGTTCCTCAAAGTGTGGCCAGTGGACCAGCTGCACAGACATCAAGCAAACCCCAGCCCAAGCTCACTGGAGCAAAATCTGCCTTTTAACCCGATTTCCTAGAAGGCTTTGAGTGCACCTGAAAGTTTTACAGTTGCTGCTTTGGGATGCCCTTGGTGGGAGTGGGAGGGTCGCCCCAGGACAGTCGAGGTCACTCAGCTATTGAGCAGGTGGCCCCGGCCTTGCCCTTGTCCCCTTCCCAATTTCAGCTCCCGTACTCCCCTCGCCACACCTTTGGTTCCATGACATTAATTTTATAATCTCCCTGGAGTGAGTCCAAAGCAAAATTTTATGTGATATGATTACACAAGGTGAATTGTCCTGGATCCGTTTAATGAAACAGATACAGTGTTTAATGATTCCATGGGGAGCTAAGTACAGTGAAGCCATTAATCAGTCCTTGGTTCCCTCAGTCCACAGGAAGACGGAGCAGAGATTGGCCGGCTTGTGCACCTGTTTGGCAGTTCAGGCAGTAGCTGGGCTCATTACCTGTGTTCCATGACGCAGTGTGTCTTTATTACCAGATTTACAGGCCGTGATCAATTACCAGGAATCCTGAGCTAATCAAGGGCTTGGTTTTAAATTTTGAAATGTTTAAATGAAATATCCTCTGCCATAGAACAGGGTGGCGTGGGCAAATACTGCAGTCAGAACAGCGTGGGTATCTACTCTGCTTTGGGATAGAGCCTATGAGATGTCTCAAGAGATGCGGGGTGCACAGGGGCAGCATGGACACATACAGTCACAACAGTGGCCAACATTGATCTGGCTTCTCCTAAATCCCTGGCATCACCATACTGAGATTTCTGGGAATTTTCCACTCTATCCACTCAGCACGTGTGAGGAGGGAGGTCTTATCAGGATCGCCTGTTTGCAGATGGGTAAACTGAGGCTCAAAGCAATCAAATAAGATCTCTAAAGCCTCACAGCTCATGTGGAGAGGGCCTGTGTCTCGAAGCTGGGCAGTTCTCCTGCCAAGTCATCTACACACAGACCTCGAGTCTCAGGCGACAGTCTGCAGATGAAGCGTGAGGCAGGTAGATGAGGAGGCAAGCTGCGCAGGACCCAGAGCAAAAAGGGGCCCACTGGACCGCCGGTGCTTACAGGGCTCATTGGCATGGTGGCTTGCAGGTTCAGCACGGGGTTGATGTGGGTTTCACTCCCGCCTCGGACGTCCCCTTTGACCTTGGGATATTTGCTTCTTGTCTCTCAGCCTTTTTCCTGTGTCCAAGGTGGTGCTAGTAATTCTTATGCCTCAGGTTTGGTCTCTTCCTCTTCCTCCTCCCTCCCTCCCCCCTCCTCCTCTCTCTCTCTTTCTCTGACTCTTTCTCTCCCTCTCCCTCTCTCATTTTTACACTATTGGGGGTTGAACCACCCTGAACCCCTAAAAAGTTATCTTACTAATTTTATTTTATTTTGAGAGAAGGTGCCTCTGACTACACTCTAGACTCAAACTTGTGATTCTCCTGCCTCAGTCTGCCAGAGCGCTGAGATCACAGGCAAGAAACACCGTGTCTGGATCTCTATGCTTCTTGAGAATTCAGAAGGAGGTCACGCATAAAGAGCTTACCGTAGCCCCTGACACCCAGTGCACGCTCGGGCAACATCCATTCCCAGTCGGCCTCTCCGACTGAGGAGTCTGGGGTCCCACAGAAGTGTGCAGTTAGCAAGGACACTGCTATCTTCCCAGTGCAGTCAAGGCCATTCACATGAGCTACCTAGGGGACCCAGGCATCATGTAGCCCAGCCCCTCCTCTTCCTTAGGGACACCCCCAACTATCCTAAGGTACTACTAGAGATGGCCAGAGGGGCCAGGCCTAGAAGTCTGAGTCATCATGGCGCTGGGTGACAGGTGCTGTCCCCATCACCTGGGCTCCTCCCACGAGCATTAGCAGCTGTCCTGAGTCTCCTGGGATGCTTCGAGGCGACTCTGTCATTGCAAAATTCTGAAAAGAGTCAAACAGACCATACGCATACTAGATTTTTCCTAATCACCCAGATACATCTGGTCTTAACCCATTATAACAGTACGAGCTCAATTAGTCAGAGGCATTGTAAATAATCTATTTTAAGAATAAAAAGAATTTCCTTGTCACTGCATAAATATTTCCCAAGCAGCCATGGGGTTCCAGGAGGGGAGACCAGGGGAGCCCGAGGCTCACACAGATTCTGATGTGTTCTACAAAGGAAAGAGGCCCTCCATCACGATGCAATGTGGCGGTCGGGAATTTTAATTTAGCTCAACAGCCGTTCCTGGGACCCCTGCTGAGGGAGGCAGTGGGAGAGAGGCTGCTGGTGCCTGAGGATGAGCAGGACCTGGAATGGGCAGATCTGGTTGTGCTTCCAGCCCCGAGACCTTGAGCAGGTCACTGCACCCCCTCTGAGCCTCAGTTTCCTCCCTAATGATGAGTGAAGGGTAGCTCTTCCCCTTCAGGGAAGCTCAGGGCCTTCTTTTTAAGAACTGCTCCCCCACCTAGGTTGGGGCTTCACCAATGTTTGTGTAAAAAATGAATGCCCCCTGTTGTCCTCTGGTCCCAGTTCAGAGTTTCGAGGACCCGCTCTGCCGTCCTCCAGCTGGCGCTCAGCACTGAGGCTGTGATCCCTTTGCTGTGCTCCCAGCGTCCTCTACGCCTCCCTTCTGCTGCCCACAGCAGCTCCCCGCCTGGCTTTCTCCTCCTTATGGCTCCCTCCAGGTCTCCCCAAGGAACTTCCCAGATTCCATGAACCTGGGTTTCAAGTCAGACTGTCCCAAGCACCCCTGCCCAAGGTGACACCCACCTCGTTTCACTATGGCTAGATAGCAGATGGCAGAAAGACAGGCGCCATGGGTAGAGAGTCCCACACGGTGTAATCAGCGCTGTGCAGCTTTGTGAGGAAAGAAGGGGGCGCCTTCCTCCAAGAGGAGGCACCTGCCTGAGCCCCGCAGCCGCCATCACCCGAAAACAGGTTAGCAGGGCAGCAGCGAGGGCCAGCATCTACTGAGCAGCTGCTGCGAGCAAGGCACCACGCTGACGGCGTCAGCTGCCATGTGACACACTCAGAATAACGGCCCTGTGACCCCCGGGAGTAGATGCTAGCACAGGATGCCTTGGCCGCTAAAAGCCCACATCCTGGAGTTGGATTACCTGGGTTCAGTTCCTGGCTCCGCTTGCTCTTAGCTGCATGAGGCTGGGAGCTGCCTGAGCCTCTGTCCCTCAGTTTCCCCTCCTGGTAAAGGAGGGCAATGATGACACCTCCCTCCCACAACTGCAAAGATGAAGTGGATGTATTAATAGTTCTTAGCATGTAATTATAATGTAATACAGTTATATACATGTAATATACAATCAATATATTAACACACATTGTTTAATTATAATGTACATATAATATACATTATATATTTATATTTTATACAATATATAATACTACATAAAATATATGTAATTTATGTATTACAGAGTATCACATATGACATGTGTATCAGCTACATATTTTATATATGATTGTAATATGTTGAACACTCACAAGATATATTTATAAATTATTTTAAAATTAGTTTAAATATCCTCTGTGTATATTACATGTTCATACTGCAGTAGCATACATTTACATAGAGGGCCTGGCTTGCAGAACACAGGAAGGGAGAGAGACTATCCCAGAGACGTGGCAGGCTGGGGGTGCAGGGGCGGTGGGTGTGTGCACAGGCCGGCCACGCTGTCCCAGGCTGACCCTCCCTCCTCCCCGCAGAGTGGCCCGAGTTCGTGCGCAACTACGCCCCCTGGTGGGCCACGCACACGCTGGACTGGCTCAAGTTCGGCCGGAAGGTGTTGGTGGTGCACTTCGAGGACCTGAAGCGGGACCTCTTCGCGCAGCTGGGCCGCATGGTCAGCCTGCTGGGCGTGGCCGTCAGGGAGGACCGGCTGCTGTGCGTGGAGAGCCAGAAGGACGGGAACTTCAAGCGCTCGGGGCTCCGCAAGCTGGAGTACGACCCCTACACCGCTGACATGCAGAAGAGCATCTCGGCCTACATCAAGCTGGTGGACGCGGCCCTCAAAGGGCGCAATCTCACGGGCGTGCCCGACGACTACTACCCGAGATGATGCCTCGGCCGGGGGAGGGGCGGAGGCCTGAGCACGCCCTGGTGACCCTCACTGACCTGTGCTGTCTTTGGTTTGGGGACCGTCCATCCCCCTGGCTGCTGTGGCCTTCGGCGAGTTTCCTGCATGACAGAGGAGGCTCGAGGGAAGAGATCGTCCAGGCGCGCCCACCCTGCTCTCCACTGCTTCCCCCAGGAAATACCGGCCACCTGGTTTGGGGAGTTCTGGCCACATGGACCCTGTCCTCTCCCACACCCACCTGCCCTTATGTCCCTGTCCACCACTCTGCGTTCCCCTGGTGGGAGGGAAGGCTCTTTATTGTCACGAGGCATGCTGGGCCCTGCCCACTCCCAGGAGCAGATGTTGAGGACCCATGTGACAGCTCTGGGGTACCCCTGGGGACTGTGGTGTGCCACCCCGTTCCTTCTCTGCTCAGGAGACCCTGGCACTGTCTCCATCTCAGGCCACCCTCTGTTGGGAAGAAAGATTACTGATGTGTCCTCTGGGCCTTGGATGCCTGACACTCTGAGTAGAGTGGGCAGACAGCTGTGCTCACAGTAGGTGGACTGGCACCACCCCCTGGTTTCCCTGGCCACACTGCAGCTGAAGAGACAGCTGGTGGCCTTTCCACTCTAGGGTTCTGATCCTACGCTGTTCTCCCCCCCCGTGTCTAGGAGGTGACCTTGGATGTCTTTCATTTCACTCCCAGGGTTCCTTGGGCAGCATCCGCTAACCCCACAGCATGCCGTGCCCAGAATTTGGTAAGCGTTAGAGCCCCAGGGACACATCTGTCCATTGTGGGTTCCAACACATCGATCTCACACTGCCCTCCTGACCCTACCAGCGGGTCCTTTGCTATTCAGCTGAGAGAGCAAGAATGATCCAAAACAGGTAGAACCAAACCCAAAAAGAGACCCCCACTACCTTCCTAGACCCCCAGCCTCCGTTCTTCAGAGCCTGACAGGACCAGCTTCCCCTCAGGGCCCGTCCAGGACTGGGGCTGAAGAATAGTTCATCGTTTCCATTGTAACGCTGCTCTCTTGATGCTGAGACAACAAACCAAAGGATTTCTGAAGACCTGAGTCACTGACCATCTGTTCTAAAGCATTGACCCAGGACCCCGTTCTGTCCCCGTATCGTGGATCCCAGTGGCTCCACACCCAGCCCACGCTTCACCACCCCCACCCTGTAGATGCAAAAGCCATAGGTCACAGCCTCTTTGCTCTTCTGTCTGGAGTGCCTCCCAAGTAAACGCTCATCCCCAAAGAGCAAAGGGACGATGGAGAAGGCGAGTGAAAAGAGTATATTTTTTTAAGAGGACTAACCAATGACCAGTACATTCCACCCCCTGAGGCCCTGGCCGTGCAAAGAGAAGGCATGAGAAGTGGACCCGAGCTACCCTTCTCCAGGTTCCCCTGTCTAAAGAATCTGGACCACCCATGACTCAGCCCATGGGCTCTGAATGTATTTTGTACCATGTTTCTTTCCCCCAGCTGATTTCTAGTCTTTGATGAAGCCGAAGAGGGCCTGGCCTCCCTTCTCCCAGGGAGGCCCGCTCTCTCTGGAAGACTCTTGGTCCAACACCTGGGCCAGTTCTTTGCTGGTGGTCTCCTCTGGCCACGGGCTTGTGTCTGAAGATTCCTCAGGTCAACACTATCATTAAATTCAAGTTTTGTTGATAATTCTACTCTGTGGTGGAGTGTTATATAGGGCAAGTAGACAAAAGGGATCGTGTGTGTGTGTGTGTGTGTGTGTGTGTGTGTGTGTGTGTGTGGTGTATCTGGAGATAGAAATGGTATGTAATTGCTTCTGTCTCTCTCCTCCTCTCTCCTCTCTCCCAGCATAGCAGCCTGTGAAGAGATCTGTGTGTAGTCCTCTTGGTGTTGAGAGAGCCTGTGTGTCTGCATGTGGAATTTGTGTGTGGAGGAAACCAATTGGTGTGGGGGACCCGAGGTGTGAGTGGCTACCAGTCTGCTCTGGGAGGATCTGCCTTCCGTGTGTACCTTTTGTCCTTGGTAACCATAAGGAGTGTGAGTAGACGTGGGCTGGAAGAGACAGCCACCATAAGATTGTACAAGGGTACAGAAGAGGTCATCTACGGACAGTGTACGCCCTTCGTCTGAGTGTGTGTGACAGAGAGAGACCCTGAGTGTGTGCTATGCATGCATTTTTGCAGTAGAGAAGCCAGTAAAAATACAAGAGCAGAGAGGCCCCGTCTGTCCCCTAGTGTGTGGGTGATGGTAGGGGATGCTTAGCCAGTGCCTCCGAACCTCTGAGTACAGCTGAAGGGAGAGCCTGGGTTCACTCCTCTCACTCACTGGAGAGGTTTCTAAGAGAGGTACTGGTGCCCAGACTGTGTCCCAGCCCACAGGAGGGACAGATCTTAGATCCCACCGTGTGGGTGGAAAGGAGAAGGGACCAGGGACAGGGAGAAAAAAGAGAGAGGGGCTTCTCCCCATCCAGGGGGAGAGCTCAGGGCTCGGGGTCTTGGGGTTCATAGGTAAGGAGGGGAAAAGAGCTCCCAAGAAGACATGTGACATGGGGATTCATGCTGTCTCAGAGAAACCATTCTGGGATGACTGACTAAGCTCTGGTCTCAGCTTCAACCTGCACTCTCACCCCTGGTCACACACAAGGCCCAGTCCTAGACCCTTGAACCTGAGTCATGAGTGAACTCTGATCACAGACGGAGCTCTGATCCTGACGTGTACTGACCCACAATCCTTGTCACACACTGATCTTTTATCCAAACTGTTCATTGCCTGAGTCTCAGCTCTGGTTCTGTACATGCTGAGCCCTGACCCTGATTACTGATCACACCCCAGGCTGGCCTTAGGTTAGGCCTTAACCTAGCCTAGAACAAATACTGATTGTGTCTCTTGACTGAGTCCTACTCTTTGTCACTTGAGCTCTGATTCTGGCCATAAACTGAGCCCCATCTCACGCTGGAGAAGTCCTGATCTCAATCACTGTGAGCCCTGGCCTGATCTCACACCAAGCCTTGACTCTGGTCCCAGGCTGAGCCCTGAACCAATGTGCCAATTTCCCCTTCCCTCTCTAAATATCATCTGTGGAACCAAGCTCCTTCAGCCGGAAATGAGGGCCACTATGAGGCACCCAACTCTCCTGGACCCTCCCAGGATCTCGTAGATTTTGTGCCATATCCAGCTGCCCATTCACCTCACCACAGTTTCCAGAGAGAGAAAGAAGCTGCTCTGAAGCCTCTTGAGCCAATTTTGGAGCTGACATGGACAGTTTGCAATGCTTTCTTTGGCTGATGCCTGCCTTTTGTACCCCAATTCATCATCTGGAACCAAATGTTTGTATTTCAGACTCAGAAAGAACTGAGCAACCCAACACAAGTTTATTAAGCACCTACTGCATGCCAGGCATTGGTTTTGGTTTTTGTTTGTTTGTTTTTTTTTTCTGAGACAATGATAAACATTCCCCCTTCCTGCAGAGTTTAATGTTTGATCAATAGAGAACAGATATTTGTAAAGTGATCAGAAAGATTTTGCAGAATGAGAATGGGACAAAGAAGATAAGGACAGAGGGCCTGAGCCACTCCTCACCATCGCTTTGAGGTAGGTGAAAGAGAGATTATAGGTCCTTTCTGCAGGGGAACAAGGGGTCCGATAAGTGTCCCAAGCCACAGAGATTCATTGCAGAGCTGAGGCCACTGCCCTTTCCTCTCTGGACCTAAAAGTCCATCCCATGTGCAGAAAATGACAGAAGGAAAAGGTATGGATTCCAGTGGTCCCCAGTGCAGGCGACACGGCTGGCCTGGATGTGGGGACACCTGGGCTGCATCTTGCTGTGCCCTCACCATGGTCCCAGGACTTGAGAGTGAGCAGGGTTCAGTATCGGCTGATTGCTGAAATCATTCCAGATTTCTCCAGTAACCCTGGAGGTTGCTGCCAATGTGTCCCGCAGTGCAGGGGTAGGGGTGGGCATCCCGAGTGGACTCATCACCTCCCGGAGGCCCGGTCCTGGTCCTTTTTCTCTCTTGCTCTGCTTTCTTTTTGACCACCCCTCTGTCTTCCTGTTTTTCTTCCCCTGCCTTCGGCTCCCAGCCTCCTTCTTTATTGTCTAATTTCCTCCAGCTGCTCATTAACCGCTTCCTTTGTGTCTCCCTACCCATGTGCTCTTTTTCTCTCCTGCCTTCCCCTCTCCCTGTTCCCAGCATCTCATCCTTTTCCCTTTTTCTCTTGCTGCTTAGGTTTATCTCTACCTTCTGGGCTCTCCGTCTCTTTATCCTTCCCTTCCTCCCTCTCCACCCCTGCTCTCCTCTCCCATCTCCTCATCCCGGAGAGTGGGGGTGACTCTGCAGGATCCAGACACAGTGAGACAAATGGTACCCAGGCTGGTAACCAAGGAAGTGGTTTCCTTAGCAACAAAGCTGCAGGCACGTGCCACACTGCCCTGGCCCCTTCGCTACTACAGTAAAGAGAGAGAGAGACAGAAACAGAGACAGAAAAATAGAGAAGCACAGAGCGAGAATGTGGATGGTACGGGGGGCAGTAACCCTTGAGACAGTGCTACCTCGCTGTGGTATGAGTCTTACAAGCGGACACAATAGCTGACACCAGCTCCTCCTTTAAGGGCACTCAGCAGAGCTGGTATCGGAAGTGGGCATTTAAGACGCAGGCAAGCTGGAGGTAGGACCCGCAGGGCTTGGTGACAGGTTGGATGTGGGAAGGAACAAGAAACAAAAGCCAAATAAGCCCAAGGTGCTGGCCCCGGGCAGTTCCTCGAAGAGGAGTTTCCTTTGACTGAGACTGAGAATCCAGGACAGAGCAGTGGGTGAGGGAGGGCAAGATATTAAGGTGACAGAGCCCCTGTCCCTGAGAATTCATCCACCTGACAAGGGGAGGAGAGGGAAGGCGTGGAGACAGAGGCAGTTCTCCTCAGTGAACTGGCCACAGGGTGCCCGGGAGAGCGAGCACACCCCTGATGGGGACAGAAGCTCAGAGAAGTTCAGTCATTTGCTTTAGGGACACGAAAGCCAGTGACAACCCTGGCGGTCTAAGCTGGGAATGATCCAGAGCCTGTCCGGAAGGCAAAAGAGAAAGCAAGAGGTATGAAATAGAGAGACGGGGAGCAGGAGACAGATTTAAATCACTGATCTGGCACTTTTTCCTAGTGGGAAAACAAAAATATGCTCAATTTTAGAGAAATGAGAAAAGGGGAGGCGGGAGAGAAAGTGCCTACTGTATGATGGCTTCAGCGGCTATAAATAACTGTCCCCAAAGGAAACATCTGCCAAGACGTGTTCCCTTCCAGAGCAAAGAACTGTGCCCCAGCACATGTTGATGCTCAGAGGGGTGTGGGAGGGCGAAGGGCGCGGGGCAGCCAGTGGATCCGTGTACCCGGAAACCTGCCTCCTTTCCCCCAAAAGCAATAAAACGTGCGGGCGAGGAGAGCTGTAAATCTGGATGGTGATAATATCCGTCCTCGCAAAAGCAACATGTTTATTTATCGTGTTTGTGGGTTTACTGCTGCTCCTCAGATTTACAGCCTGCAATCTGCTCGCGTGCCAGGGGAGGGACACGGAGATGAGGACAGACCCAGCAGAATGTGGAGGAGGAAGAAGTGAAGGAATATGTATCCCCTCGCCCCACTCCCACCCCCTGGCTGCCTTAAATCCGTTTCAAACAAAGGTAGTGATTTAGCCGAGCAGGCCCTTGCAGCTCTCTTTCGGGCCGCCAACAGCTAATTGAAAGGAACAGTCATTACAGAAGGAACTGTGTTGCCATAAAATGATTTTTGTGCATGCTAGAATCGTTCACTAAACAATTACGGGAAAGGACAGTCAGCTGGGAGTGACAGAGTAGCATGTGGTGGTGGCCAGATTCCTGTGGATCCTCAAGTGGAGGCCAAATGATCGGGACAAGTACCCTTCTGAGACAGGAGTTAGACATCCAAGCCATAAAATAGTTACCTGGGCTTCCTGGAACTTGACACTCCCCGGCTTAGCTCAGGTCTTCAGAACCAGATGTCCCAAAAGATGGGAGCAGGGAGCCGTCTGTGTCTTCCAAAGCTCCCTAGGTACAGGGATCAGTGCAGTAGGAAGGGAACGGGGTGATGCTATGGGCTGACTCTGAGGGAAGCTGTACACTGTTGACCCAAATCATCTGGCCTGAGCCATTGTCACAGCAGGAAAGGATTGTTATCATCACCCACGCCTTTTCATGCACTATGATCGATGTGTCCCTAAAACTAACCCAATATCTTGCACATATTAAGTACTGGGTAAGTGTCTGTTGATTGTCTCAGTAAGTGAATGCCGAGATTCAATTCTTAACAGATATGGAGAGAAGAGCCAGTGTCACCAGTCAAAGCTGGCTTGAGTTTGTCCCTGAGTGGCCCTGAAGTTTAACCCCAGCAAGACTGGATGTTTTCTATTCTCTCACCCACTTAGACTCCAAAAGCCAATGAGTGGTGTGGTGCAACCCACTTTCCTGGTCCCCAGCAGCCAATGGTACACATTTCTTCCCAAATTCACATGCATGACTGTGTCAAACTACCAGAGACAAAGGCGGAGGAAAGAGGAAAGATGCACTTTGGTTCACAGCTTCAGAGGTTTCAATCCATGACTGGCTGCTTTGGGGCCTGTGGTAAGGCCAAAATACCATGATGAGGAGCGTGTGATGGCGGTGTGGGGGTTAGAAAAAGCCCCTTC